AAATACTAAATTAAAGCCATTTATGTTTTAACCTCGGCTTCCTATAGAAAAAAAAAAATCCTAATTCAAATCCTTATCCGTCTCATATTCAAATAGATCATTTTTCTTGTAAATGTTTTATAAAACGTAGAAAATTTATACTTTTTAGAAAGTGTGTTATAAAACAAGAACATCAAATCCGCTCCAATAGGAAACATATCCCCAATCCTATGCCACTTTGATTATAAGAATGTAGCTTCATTCAACAAACAACTTAATTGCTAATCACTAATTAATCATCGGATGTGACCACCCATTAAAGTCAATGAAAAAATATTGACTTTTAATGCCATTAGTTAATTACATAATTAAATAATTAATTAAAATTATATTATTTCTACGCAACGGATATGATTGTGGCAATAATTTAGGGTCATCACACGTGATCATCATCACCATGCATTGTGGTGGGTGCACATGATCACCATCAAATTGCCTTGCAAAGCTAGCTAAGAAAGATGTGATTAAGGAGTAGTTAATTTCTATTAAAATAATTAATCAAATGATAATTTTTTTTATATAAAAAAAAAAAAAAAAGGATTAGGTGAGGCGGTTTAGGTAAGGGACCCAAGTTGCATGTTTAATACTATTGCGAAGAGTGGACTAAATTTTTTTTATAACGTCATAAAATTTATCTTTACAAAAAATATTAAGGGGGCAGCGTTCATCGGTGACACGTGTCTCACGTGCTTCTCATGGCGTCACATGCGAATCTCTAGTAACGTCATCCGTTATCGTTAATTACTGTACATTTGTTTTTTTTTTTGAATGCTACTGTACATTTGTTAATTAATCTCTTTTGCTTCTTATAATATAAAGTGCTTCTTCTTATGATCTTATCCGTAAAGGCATTGGAATCTGGGGATGTAAATTTATTGACAATTAAAAAAAAAAAAAATTGGTGTTATTTTAATTGGGTTTGGGCCCAATCCAACTTTTGTCTATGCAATTCTCACGATAGTTTAATTGGGCTTGGCCCACGTTTGTTTCCACAATTCGTGACCATTTTGTTTGTTCCACTAGGATTGGGCAAAATGTTTTCCAGCATGGCACTATAATTCTCTTATATGTTGGGAGGGGTTTAAGGTTAAGTCCAACATTTTATCCCTGTTGTACATTTTAAATATGACACTGACTATTATATAAATTTATAAAAATAAAGTTGTGTATTTGTTATCAGCTACAATTTTTTTGATCTGACAATTGGTAACAAAGTAATCCTAGATTTTTTTATAAAGATAGGTAGTTTGAAATTTTATTTTCCAAATATCAGTACTTTTAAACTTATTTTCTAAATAGAGGTTATTTCGCCTAGTAATCTTTTTGGAAAATAAATTTAAAAGTACCCAACTTGACGCCATTTAACCTATATATATATATATATATATATATATATATATATATATATATATATATATATACACGATATGAAATAGCAACCTTTGAATAGAGTTCTAATTTTGCGATATGAATAAAATCAATAAACACTCTCTTTTTCACTATTTTTTAGAAGCTAAAGAAATTATAAATTGTGTGGGCAAGTTTCTATAGCCTAGCTTTGTGTTGAAAAAAAAAAAAAAAAAAAAAAAAGAGTGTAACTTGTAAGTTAATACAGCCTAATTTTGACCATAATAAATACATTTTATAATTAATGGTAACAAGTACAACTTAACTACCAATGATTGGAACTTGAATTTTAGTAATGCTCATCTCAATATCAAAAGAGGATTTGGAAATACTAACACCAATTGATATTGTACCTAACATATCATAGAAATAATGTTACAAAGTTGCAAAAATATTTTAGGTGAAAATATAATCTTCATCATTTGGGCTCATGAATCCCCCATGACGTTTCATGCTTCAAGAGACTCCTGGTACCGAGCACATCACATATGGTCTTTCTTAGTACGGTTTATATTTCTTATGTGAGTGATTTTGCAAACTATTACATAAGAGTAACCACACGAGAATGAAGTTTATCCAATAGACACTTTCAAGTAGTGGGAGTAAATTAAATTTCCCGACAGCTATAAAATGGTTTCCACCCCCACCTCTGCTCTATCATTTTTTTTCTTTTTTCTTTGTTTGCAGAAGGGTCAAATAGCTCTATCTATACCTACTATCAACGACTGTTCAATTCGCACATTGGACTAAAATAATATCTATTTGGACATATTTACTTTAAAAATTTATTCACTCTGTATTTTAGCCTCTTTGAAACCCTTTGTTGCAGATTTCACAAACAAATCTATTTGTAGCTAATAGAGTCTTTGGTTGATAAAGTAATCACCTTTGCATCCAGACCTTGAAAACCTAAAAAAAATAAAAATTTCCAAAAATTAATATTTTTATTTTAGTAAATTGAATACTTAGTTTTACAGTTACCTGGCATTCTAGGAAGGTTTCACCTTTTTTTTTTTTTTTTTTTCTTTGTTGGTTGCTTTTAGAGGACCTGCTTGATTACTAGATGAAGAGACGCTGGCTTCGTCGGAACTAGTAGAGTCATTCACGAGGGAGGAGTTATTGGCATCAACTGCCATGACAGTGCAACTATTTCATTGTCCGAGGTCGCTAAAAAGAGAAATTTTTGGACATTTATGAACATCTACTAGTCAATCTTGCTTTACGCAACCACTAGCTCTGACCAACTAATAATTTCTAGAACTCGTGTTGCAGAATTAGCTCAAAACTCAGTTTTGCAAAACGGTAAAATTCCATCTTCAATTCAAGCAAATTGGTTTCCAAAGAAAAAAATTTAAGCAAACTCTAGGAGCTTTGGAGCTTAACAAAAATTTTGAAGTTCTACTCGTTTTGGTAGAGCTTTTGGCATTTTGAGTGGGTTTGAAATTCTACTTCTTGCGAAAAGGAGTATTTTGATGACGAAAGATAAACCTAGTTGTTAAAGAAAATGAACTCATCAGAGCTTAAATTATGATCAAAAGGAGGCACCAACGACCACTCCGGGAGAATGAAATTGTGGTTATTCAACTCGAACAGAAGCTCAGCCACCGGAGTTTCAAGCTGGCCATCCATTGTTTGCAGCTACAGCAAGAAAGGCAGTGACGTTATAACACCAGAACCGTCCAAGGAGTTCAAAGAGAGAATTTTTTTTCTCTAGTTTGAATGTGTTTAAAGGTCAGCGGTGATAAATTAATTAACAAGTCAACAGAATTATTTTTATTTAAATTCTATATCAGCATTGTGAGAGGGTTACTTAAGGGAAACCTGAACAAAATGCTAGGTGAACAAAATTTTAAAAATAAATGTGTCCATTTAAATCTTATTTTAGTCCAAGATGTGAATTGAATAGACATTGATAATAGATGAAGCTATTTGATTCTTGTATTTTTTTTTATTTTTTTTTTTGAAATACTCATAATATAGTATCTCTTCTTATCATTTAATTTCCACAAACATCATTTTCATACAAAATTTTTCTCCACATTTGTACTCTACTTTAACTTTGTAAAGATGCAGGGTCTAATTTACTATTCACCAATTCCACCCTCCCAACATATATTCCTTCCCTCTTTTACACAAGACGCCAATATTAACATTAATACTCCAAAATTAATGTCTACCATCTTCAACTTTTATAATATTTTGCAACAGCGACTGTGTTTCAAATAAATTTAAAATTAAAAAAAAAAAAAAAAAAAAAAAAAAAAAAAACATTCTTCTTTAAGCTATTATATATGCTTTTGACTTTGCCTTCCAAATAAGGGAAGAAGTACATCATGCTAAAGTATGGCACAATATATACTACGTACTGTTAGTAGTGGGTTTTTTGTCATGTTTTTTTAGGTGGAAAAAATGGGGTTTATGGGATTTTTGTCATTAAAAAAATAAATAAATAAGTTACAAGTCGCGCGTGATGTGATTTACGCGCATCAATGGTTAAAGCTAGAATCTTATCATTACTAAATTTTCATGTTTGTAATAATTATAAAATGAAATACACTATTAAAATTTTTTAATAATTATAAAATATTAAACCATTAATGAATCCCGATGGACAGATAAGACGATCAATCCTCACTTTTTGTAGGGGGACTCTGCTCCCATTTGATCCAACCTATATATATATATGCCAAGCACTTTGTGTTCAGTTGACACCTTTGTAACTCTGATCTCATTGAAGGAAAGTCACAGGTCGAATCCGATCAGAATTCTAGATACACACATTATAAGTGTACCTTGTTGTTTTGTAAAGGAGTTAATTCTATTTTTGGTCCTAGATTTATATGCGACAATCCACTTTTAGTTCTTTTTATCAGAACATCCTCATTTGGTCCTATATATTATTATTGTGGCATGACCATTTTTTATTCTCCATCAACAAAATCATTGAAATGTAGTTAAATACAAAGATATTTTGATCTTTTTTTTTTATACAAAGTATATGTTGACCCGATATATTTTTTATATTTACTTTTTTGAAAAAATTCATAATTAAAGACCGAAATGCCCTTGTATTTTGTTGATAGAGGACAAAAAATGATCGTGCCACAATAATACTAAGACCAAAAAAAGGACTAAAAGTGAACTGCCATCTATAAATCTAGGATAAAAAATGGAGTCGGCACGGGTTTAGCTCAATGGTTCAGTGGACAGTATTTGAGAAAAGAGACCAAGGTTCGAACCTCGGTGGAATTATGTCCAAAGTGGACAGATTTCTTGTGCGCACTGTCATGTCCGCTAAACCATTGAGCCACATTGGGGTGTGGGGGGACCTATGTGCATTCGAAACATGTGGGATTTTTTTTAAACAACTTAACAAAACGACGTCGTTTTGGGAACGAAAAACAACGTCGTTTTGGGAGGAGCGGGGCGCATAGTGCTATGTGCGCCCTGGTGCACGGTATAACGATTGCTTAAGATTGTGGATTCAACCTTTTCTGTCCTCTTGGGAGAAGGATAAAAAATGGAATTAACTCTTTTGTAAAGTTATACTCTCCTTATTTACCCATGGTAAATCCCATTATACAAGTTTGTAAAACTTACAAGTTTACACCAATGGGTAATTTTCCATATATATCACATCAGTTTAAGACTTAGCTTGACCGTGTAACACGGTTTAAAAGGAAAAGAAAGTTGTAGCTAATATTGCCATATTACAGTCCAAGTTTTTGGAAACATATGTCAAATGTCTCTCTCAGAAGTCTCATCCTCTTCTTCTCCATTGAGAATTCAGATGGTTTCAAAGTCTGTCTCAGAAAAACTTCTGTCGAAATTCTCAGATGTTTCGGAATTCGACTTTGATTATTCGCAGAGCGGTCTGTGGTCTCCTCCCATCCAAAGAAGTGTGTTCTTGAGCTCTCCAGGGAAGATTCTCTCTCATGCACAAATGGCTGCCAAGTTAACCAAACTCTTGAACAGACATCAGAGAAGAAGAAGAAGAAGACCACATTGCTTCCATGTAAGATATATAATAATGTTATTAGCTAGCTAGTAAGTAGCAATACTGCTTTATTTATTTCTTTGGAAAAGTTTTTATTTTTATAAAGTATAAATAGTTTAACTGCATTTATATAATTATTTGTTTTGTACCAACTAAAAGTTTAAGCTAATAATTGGACTGCACATTTATGTACTCAGCATTCAGTAATATGTAGTTCAACTATCGATTTAGTCTTTTAGTTGAGACGGAACGTTGAATATCAAGGAACTAATTTTTTTATTTATTTTTGTTAGGGGGTTTTGCAAGCGTGTTTGTGTTCTCCGAAGAGATTTCAAGGAGGCAGAAGCTAGCATTATTGCAGGAAAGGATCAAACCTTTTTTTTTTTTTTTTTTTTTTGTCTTTTTAATAGAAATGCAGACAAATAGTATAGCTGCTGACCTGCATATTCTTTTGATTTTTATTTTAATAATTAATATTTTTCTTAAATGTAACTTCTGCAGTAGCCTTTCTTTTTCCCAGAATGGGTATATTATATATATCAGTGATCAAATAATAAATATAAATATAATAATAAATAATATTAAGAAATGCAAACGCTGGGGTTGGGGTGAGGGGTGGGGTTGGCCGGTTGGGGTGGAGAACATGATGATTGATCATTGATGATGATGTACAACTGTTTCGTTGGGAACTTTTTAAAATCCAAGAATTGAATTTGCATCTGAGATAATGTTTTTCTGTGAACAAAATATGTTAATGAAACTTGATTAATGTTATTTTTTATAATATTTACTTCAATGATATATGTTGAAGAAAATAAACTTAGAAAAAAATGATTTGATTAATAAATAATAAACAGATCATGTAAAATTAGACAATGGAATATATAGACTTTGATTTAAGGGGATGCCCGCAACAACTACTTATTGGAATGGAATGTATAGGCTTTGATTTATGATCAAACCTGTAATCGCTACACAAAAGTACACTCTAGGTGAAGCTCACCTTTTGACCATAATCGACAAATAACTACAATAAGATAAACTAGTTTAGGGTGTGCATAATTGACTAATTCAAAATGAAAAGATGAATAAACAGCTCCCACCTAAAATTGAGAATATAGGCTAATTATACAAGAAAGGGACTTGAAGTTGAAGGTCATCCTCAAACCTAAACGTACGTAGGATGGTCCCAACTAGCCATTTGGACACCAAAATCCAAAAGAGTTTTGCACCACCATACAATTTATCATCATTGGATTCTAAGACGACTTAAATTTTTTTGAAATAGATAGTATACCGTAAATTTAAATATATATTTTTTTATTTCAAATAAAAGAAACACAGTATATATTAATATATGTATGAAAATATTAAATCGTAATTTTTTTTCTGCTGTTTTTTTTATATTTAGTAGAAATATTCTTTACATAAGAAAGTCATTAAATTAAATCATTTTAATAAAATCACTTTTTTGGTGATGAGAAAAATCTACCGTCATTATCTGAGAATGTGCATGTAGTAAACCCTGCACCACACTAGGAAGATTCTGTCCAACGAGCTCAATTGAAAAATTATTAACAAGAATCAAACTCATGATCTTCTAATACAAGAATTATACTACATTCACTCAATCACCCCTTTCAAGGCAATAAATAAGATGGTGCATGCAAGTCTGTAAGTAAACACATTTTCTGTATTCATTTCTCAGTTTTTCATTTCCCAAAATCAAATGAAGAATTTCAAACAATAAAATACACTAACAATTTCAAAGACTGCTGGATATTAACCAATGGAATGCAACATTTGCAGAAACCGCCAAATCTGTAATCTATTCACATTTTCAAAAACGGATTTTAATGTAGTATATAACAAGGTCATGATTGCTAAAGAACAGACTTTTTGGTACAATACAAATTCATTGTTGCCTAATCCTCCACTGCAGACTGCACCCTCTGCAGATTCACAGTTTACAACTTTGTCTACTCCCCATGCATAAATGTTGTGAAAAAAAAACTGAAAATGACCCCATTAAAGAGAAGTCATTCTCAAACTAACCTTGCACCCATCTCAATATTGTTTACTTCTGGTTACATTTAACTAGCTTGAGTATATAATTACATTTCGACTTGGTGTTCACAGATTATGTAAGAATAGCAGTAATAAGATCCGAATTCGACTCCCTATGGGGACTACCTATCAGTCTTCTCGGTTTGAGCCGATTAACTATGAGCAACCTAGGCTGGTTTACTTCCTTAAGGTCATTTGCTGGCTAGGGTCGGGATAAGTATACAAGAATAGCAGTAACAAGATATGAAAAGTGCACGTATCACTAGATTTGGGTACTACATATTCCCTTGATAACTTTTGGTTTGTACTTGATAATGATAGTTCAAGTAAAACCAGGTAAGCTGCATTTTAGTGGTAGCATTAATGGTAAACAACAGAGGGAAGCAGACTGTAAATCAGATAAGGGATTCACATATATATAATACATTTCTATTTTAGAAGGTGAAAAGTGTATCTTTACGTGGATTGAACTTTGTCTTAGTTTGATAAAGTCACCTTTTTCATCACGTCCTTGATCCTTCCTTGAGCTTTCCACGTCGGAGAAGAATCTATCCACCACAGAGCTCAGACAAGATATATTTACACTGATGGGTAAAAGGAACACAAAGTTTCAAAATTGTACTCTTGTATAGATTTCACCCCTACAAAATCTGAGCAATAACAAGTGTACGGCTTTCAATACGTATATATTTACACTGATGGGTAAAAGAAACACACATTTTCAAAATTGTACTCTTGTATAGATTCACCCCTACAACATCTGAACAATATAACAAGTGCACCACTTTCATATATTGTTAGCTTCTTAATTATCATGTAAGCTAAAGTTCCTTTCAAGTTTTTAATTCATTGGATAGTTTAAATGGATTGTCAACATACCTTGTTCGTTATGCAGTAACAGGGGTTGGCTCGAGGCTTTCTTTCCCAGTGATGCCTTCTTTCAGAGTCTTGAAGTAAACATCATAATCTTTTTCTGGAGGGGGGTTTTCAGGATCCACAGTGTATGGCTCGCTAAATGGAATAACACTCTTCACCTGTCACATAAGAATTCATATCGTTATACTCATACCCATTATTTCTTCGTGAAGAAAGTTGAGGACGTATGGAATATAGAGGGCATGATTGAACTAAGGAAATCGCGACCTCAAATGTCTTGTCACATGCATATGGGCTTTCTAGAGCAGCCACACATATCCGAGCAACTTCTTCCCTGGATATCTTTCCCTGCATGTGATAATAATTTAGTCAAAACGCAAACAGGGAAAGTATAGCCTTCACTTTAGAAGTCGTTTTTACAAAACCATAAGAGACTGCTGGACAATACATACTGTTATATTGTCTCCTTGATCAAAAATGAGATCAGCTCCAGCGGGTTCTTCAGTCAAAGCACAAGGCCTCACTATTGTATATGGAATTCCACTTTCCCTAACCAAATCCTCTCCCTGACACAACAACAAAGATAACATAAAAGAATGTAAGCAAGCATTGTATAGAGAAATTGCACCAATTAAAATTAAGAATAACATGCATTAAGAAATCAATGAACCTTTAGCTTAAATGTCAAGATGAAGCCCAATTCCTTGTTCAAACGCACAGCAGGAGGCTGTTTGCTCAAATCTAGTCCTGGTCTTTCAGGTCGAGTAACACCTGCAGACCCCACGTGTACAAACCTATAGTTGCAACACCGAAGAAATAAATAAATAAAGGCAGGGTTTATAAAATCTTCCAAGTTTAATGCATTGGATAGAATCAAATTCAACAATTGTAAGCCAATATATTTGAAATTAACCTGGGAGTGATAGGATCCTTTATGTATGCACGAATTTGTGATAACGGAAGTTGAAAAGGACCTTCCTTGAAAGTTGGGTTTAGTTTACCATCATACTCGAACTTACTGTACATCAACTGCATATTGAAATATTTTGTCAAAGTAGACATAAGAATATGTTAAACAGCAAAAGAAGTGCCCAATAAAAATACTAACGTACCTGCAATGATATAATTTGGCTTGGGTCAAAAGGTAGCGCATCTGGTACTGTTCGTGCTCGAAAAATAGGTCTCAGAGAAGAGAAAGGCAAACGAATCTGGAAAGTAGGTCATCAAAGATCTAAAATGAGCTTCATAGGCATAAATAATATAACTGGCTTTTTTTCCCTTGTTTGATCTTTGTGCTACATTTTAATGTTTTATTGAGATATGCCCCTACATAATCTGTAAATCATGAAATTTTGTTTTGCTAAAGTTTTCAACCAATTCTCTTTATTATAAGAAATGAGTTAATTCCTTTCTTTTGAAGCAACAATGCCACTAACCGATTGCCATTGACCCTCCACTGTGTCAAAGCTCGCTGTATAACCCACAGTGTCCCAATCACGGCTAGTGCGAATGATAAGCTTATAACGGTAGCCATCACCCCTTAGCCGCAGCTCCAGGCCATCATAAGCAGAAAGATCTTCTGGTACAGAAAAATTCTGAAAACGGACACAGAGAGAACTCATTTAGAAAATCAAAAATAAAATGTAAAAGAACAAGAAAAAGACAAGATCACATTTTAAGGTCAAATATATTGTTGAGCATGAGATAAAACTTCGTCCTGATAAAGCTTGTTCAAATATATAAAAGAATATGGTAGACCACAATTCAGAACTTTGACTGTAAAACATAAAAATGGAATAGAAGCAAGAATGAAATGTACCAAGCACTAGACAGTGTAAGAAAGAAATCTTCACCTTTGTCCTCGTACTGGCAAAACCTCCATTATTTGCAGTGGTAACAACTCCTGGACACAAAATCAATAAAATTAATTGAGCATAGATATTAGCCACTGATCATGAAGTACTTTGGCATTTCTCTCTCAAAATCATTTAAACTTTAAGCAAACCTTTGAAAATCCCTGTTGGTTCACCATCTTCCCCACCGGTTGGATCTATCAGGAATGTGCTTTCACTTACTCCTCCCATCACAACATCATCTAAGGCACCCCATTCACGCGTTTGAGACAAATTGCCTGCAAAATTATTCAGAATGAAGTGAACTTAAGCCGATATATTACAGTAATTAGTGACAGTAAGTAAATACTTACGTTGACTGAATATAGCCCTTGCCTTTGGTGGACGATAATGACTCATAAATCTTATACTTATCAAGTAATACAGTTTTTTTTTTACAAGATCATACCTTCAAATCCAAATATAAGTTTTCCCTTACGAAGCCCAACACCATCCTTCACAGCAGTGATTAAATTTTTCATACCGATGTACTCAACCATTTCAGGTGAAGCACCTTTTATCTGTTTTCGCATGCAAAGGTGGATGTCAAATAATTGAGAGAGAGAGAGAGAGAGAAATAAGAGACTAGTGAGTTTTCTAATCTATATAAGAAAATAGCACGAAACCAACTTCATAAGTCATGAAATAAGTTGACCACCTCTGGTTCAAAGAACTTGATCCCCTGTTAGAAACATCAGATTAAAGACATCAAAATGGAACCGACAAATCATGACAAAGGGGGGAAAGGGATGGAACTTAGAAAACATACTAGAAGAGAGGCAAGTTCTAATACAGGTGAATAGTTTAGAAGGATTTGAAAAAAATCAATATAGGATAGGAATTTGAAGGAATAAAACCAAACTTAGATTAAAATTTCACTTGAAATTATTTATTTAACTTCATAGGAAAATAATGAAAGAGTTGCCCTTAATTATTAGAGACTTGATTTTTACCTGACTGTATTTGGCCCTGTCAGGGGTATCCCCTTCCTTGGGGCCAACAATAACTGAAACAGCATTAATAACCTTTCTCACTCCTTTGAAATACTCAGGGAGCAGAGTGCTAGCCTTAGTGATATCACCTACAATCTGAATATTTAGTCACAGAAAACACAATCACATTTCTGCATTCACACATGATCATATTAGCAGTGAACTTCTGCAATTTAAGAGTACCCATCAAAAATGAAAAAACAGGTTGAATATAATGGACCATAATTGCATCCATTTTTCCAGGATCAAATGTTTAACAGACCAGAAGACAGTCTGATGACTAACTATTCACACAATCAAATGAAAATAGAAAATTTACATTCAGGATCAGCTGTGCAGTCTTCTACTCATGCTGGGGCAACAAAGAGCAGAAATATTTTAATACCAAATTTATCATCGACCTACCAGATCAACATCTTCGCCAAACATTTTTCTCGCCTTCTCTTCATTTCTGACCTGAGAGGATTTTGTCTCACAAATATTACCATACATGACAGTGATGTAAGAAATTTAATTATCCAATTGTCTTTGTATTTATGTCTTGAAATCATATACCACTTTCACATTCAGAACCTTTTGACAGATTGGCTATTAAAAAGGGCAGTAGATTGCAGGTAAATACCAGTGCTCGGACAGACAACCCTTTGCTGCGCAAGATGTCTACTACTCTTCTTCCAACACCACCTGTGGCTCCAGCAACAAGGATGATCCCAGAAGAATCCATCGATTTTACCGGTTTACTAGGTGATGGACCAGATAGTTTCTCAATCAGAAATTCGAAGAACTTCAAACATAGACCAACCTTGTTAGATGTGTTTAAGACCACCACTCATATGCATAGACAAGAGAAAGGAAAAAAAAAATGTAATTACAAGAGAAAGCAACCCAACCTTGGAAGGGGAGGGAGGTCCGTTGAAATAATACAATGTACTCAGGAATCTTCCAAAGTCCCAAGGTTGCTGTCCACTTTGTGCGAAAGGGCCCTTATATGTTGTAAAAGAGAGATGCAGAGGACTTTGTTTTCTTAGAAAAGGTTGAGCTTTGATCTTAAGTTGGTGGCAGGGTTTAGAAAGTGGAAATGGTGGAAGTAAAGATTTTTCAGAATATCCTACACCAACAGATGAAAAACCCTGCAATATCAGTTAACTATGTCACTAAAAATATGTCGACAAATGATACACATAACACATGTAATGTGGAAGGGAACAGCTCAATACATAAGCCAAACTATTACTACACTCTACTGACAGCTAACTTTGTCAAGAACGAAGACATGAAAACTTAAAGCTCAAGATGTGCAGCACAAGAGAAAGCAACATAATGAATCCAGAATTTCAGTTTGAATCCAAGGACCAGAAATCAAGTGGCTTCAGCTTAAGAGTTTGTATAAGAGGGTTCAAGTCCAGTACTCAATGCCATCAAAACAGGAAGAAAAACAAATACAATTATAAACCTGCAAACAGATATCTTGTGCAATTCAAAGTAGTGATAGAATACCCTAATAAGCTCAAAATTCAGCATAAAGTGATTTAGATCCTATAACACTCTGCACATACTGAAATGAATGGAATAGTTAATGCATACGACAAGAGACTACAAAGAGTGAAAGACGCAGTTTGTACCACGAGCAACAATATCCCAAGAAAATTGAAGTATATAGCAGAAACGAAATTGGGATAAGGGAATAGTAAGGCATGGAAAGGAGTTTCAAAAGCAGCAAATTAAAGCTCTAACTCTTATCGAACTGATGAAACGCGAGCCGAATCGTACACAGAAAACATGCAAGGAAGCATTCATTCAATTCAATTCCTAAGATGATCTTTTAAGCAAAATATCTCACCCGAAAATTGAGGACGGCTGAGCAAGAAGGAAGTGTCTTGTTTACACCGCAAAAACACTCCATCTTTTCGCACACTGCACTGACGACTGATTAGTGAACCAATCCACTTGTCATGACACTAGACCAGTAGATGGTAGAGGTGGAGCAACTGCTTCTTCTTCTTCTTGTCTTTTCTCTTTTTTTTTTTTTTTTTCATGGAGCTAATTTACACCACATATAAGCTCAGCACGGAATTTGATTCGAAACGAGTGTGTACGTGGTTATCCCTGTTTCCTGGCAATTTTTAAATTACTGCCGTTAATAATTTTTGTACTTTTTGTGATTATGTTCAGTTGCTCTGTCGGGGCCGGAGGATGGGGACCCTTAGGGTTAGGGTAACCTTTTAGAAAAAAGATATATGACACATAAATTGAGACAATGTAACTACAGAATTTAAGCGTTATTTTTGAAACTAGTATGATAAAGGTACCGAAGGTAAATTAATAATAAAGGTACTACTTGATAACATAGTCAATTTAGATCACTATTAGTTTTTTGATTTGATTAACTTTTTATAACAGCTTATTGTTTTAAAATGTTAAAATTCAAAAAACTGTTCAAAATAATTTTTTCGATCAACTTTTTGATAAAATCATTTTGCATCAATAAGCTAACGATTATTTACCAAACACCGCATAATTTGCCATTTCCTGGGCCTACGCTTTTATATTGGGCCGAAACAATACAAATGTGGGCTGCCGGCCCATTGCAATACACATCTTAAAGAAAATTTTTCACGAAGAGGAAACCGTATTAAAAGAATACTTTGAAGAAAACTCTGTAAAATTGACCACATGTCCTCATTGTTCTTTGAACATATATTATCTTCTTATCTAGGTTACCAAGTGGCTTATGGTCCACTGGTATCGGATTGCTCCCCTATGTGGGAGGTCTAGGTTTCGAGCCTCGTTGTAGGCATAGATTGTATGGGTATCTCCCTTCCTTGTAATAAAAAACCTACAGTCCCAAGAAACCTAGTTCACTGGCCTTCTCCTTCTCAAATGTCTCAAAATACTGGTATATGATTGTCACTGCAAGAAGAATTCCAGTTCCTGAACCTATGGCTCCCATCATGTCTGCCAACACCGTCAGTGCACCAATGCACATTCCACCAAAAGCGGCTGCTGTAGGAATGTAACGGTTCAATTCCTTCTGCAGATTGGAATCGCGGTGTCCTGGCATCACCATTTGTTGCTCCTGCAAATTTTTCCGCCAATATATGTCATTACAGCTTATAGACTTATGGTAAAATGCTATCTGGAATCTACCGAATAATGCTAAGAGTCTCATCTTACCTTAAGCTGCTTGGCAACATCTCTGGCTGAAGAGCCAGATACTTCAATCCACGTCTTTGAGAACAAAGCACAGGCTGAGAGCATGAACACAATGTAGAAAAGAGCATGGTATGGATTTGCCAACATATCTGCCAAGCTGAAATATGATAACAAATACCAAAAATCAAAGTGGGTTGAACAATATGGGAAACAAATGGTTAATTGCACAGACTAAAACATGGATGGATAAAGTTTCTTGGTCAATTTACATTACCTTGATGGTGCAGTAACATAGTAAGCAAGTCCACCAACAGGAACAGACTGGCCCGAGTATTCAGATTCCTTCCATGTGCCCAACAAATTGACAAAAATGTTCCCACTGTATTTCCTGTATAGCAACTGTACATGACAAAAACAGTTATTGGACTTTATAATCATTAGACATTCAACAGAAAACCAAAATGATTTGTGTACCTGAGAAATGAAATAAAGGTTGGATACAAGGGCAGACTGAAGAATAATAGGCATGTTGGAGGTATAGAAGAGCTTTATTGGATAAGAGCCTTGCTGTCCACGAGCATTCTTTGATCTGACAGGGAGAACAACACGGAAGCCTTGGAAATAGATAACTATTAGGAAGATCAGCACTGTGGCAAGCAGATTTGTAACATTGGGAAGATTTTGTCGGTAGAAAGCCTCTCTAAGAGCACGGACTTTGTCTGTCCTAGCTATCAGTAGATGGAACAGAGCAATAATGGCACCTTCAAATTCAGCTCCACGTCCAGTATTGATGGTAGTGGGACTAAATGCTTTCCAGATAATGCTTTCACTGCAACGCCAATAAAAATGTTGATGTGCTAAGGGCCAACAAGATACAAGACCAAGACTAGACATGTAAAGCATATTAAAAAGTTACCAGATGTTGGTAGCTATAAATAGGGAAATTCCTGAGCCAAGACCATATCCTTTCTGAAGGAGTTCATCTAAGCATATGACAATAATACCAGCAAAGCAAAGCTGAATGATAATAAGAATAGCATTCCCAACGCCCAATTGATTGACACTGCCATACATCCCTGAAAGGACATAAGCTACTGCTTCCCCAACTGCAATCAGGATACCTAACAACTTTTGAGCACCATTTCTGCAGGATAAAACTTTTATTAGGAAGATACGGTAAGAGGGCAACTGGTGGGGTCACGAAGGAATCTTGATAAATAAAAGCTTGTACAAAATTATATGATTTGTTTTCATATATAAAATTAATTTAGAAAAAAAAAAGGGAGAGATTAACTCACAAGAGTGCACGGTCCTCTCGGACATTGTTGTCCACTTCAATAATCTTTGAACCAGCCAATAGCTGCATCACCAGTCCAGAAGTGACAATTGGTGTAATCCCCAGTTCCATGACTGTACCGCGGTTTGATGCAAGAATTACACGCATCCAGTAAAAGGGATCAGCCCCAGTTGTAGAATGTATGCCATACAGAGGCAGCTGACTGCAGACCAGGAAGATGAAAAGAGAGATGACAGTGTATATGACCTTCTCTCTAAACGGAACCTTCCGGTCAGCACTCTGAACTTCAGGCAGAAATGAAAGAAATGGTTTGACAAGATGCAGTACTCTGAATCCTCCACCCATTTTCACAAGATCAACAAAATATATCCACCTGCTTACTCATCCACATAACCATTTAGATTGTCAACAACTGACAAGTAAAATAAACACTAAACAGCTGTATCACATTTAATTGTGAAATTATAAATGAAATCAGGTTACTAAAATACATAGTTATGCAGACAACAGAACTGAAATACTAGATACAAAATTTTAGAACCAAGAAAATGATCAAAGTAAACCCTCATAAGCACTAGTCAACTTGGTAATTAATACAATGTTGCCCCAAAACCAGTCAAATCCACCATAAAATCTGCCAGCAAGACTTTCCATAAGCTAGAATATTCATGCATTCACCAGATAAGCATGATTATAAAATTATCAAGGTAGCAACCAAACAGACGTAATGCACAAAATCAACTATATCCATCGGGAACCTTTCATGCCAATCCAACAATTCTTAATTCATATATACAAACTGATAAAAGAAAGTCAGTGCAGAATTGACAACAAATCACTATCTAATATCGGAAAGTTTACAACAAAATACAAATGTAATGAAGTCCTAAAGTGAATAACATGCTACTTGCAATTCATAGGAAATTTTTAAAATGAAATGCCTGTGTCATATAATTCATTCGTAAAATGCTATTACAGAGTAGTTTTTCGTGTAAAAAATACTAAAGCTTCCCTACTGCAGACTCACAGCTAACATCTCCCTGTAAAATGTAAATTGTATCTGGAACAAACCATAGAGCAGTTAAATTTCCCTAAGAAGTATGGATTTGAGCTGGTAACAACTAAAAACATTTTCAGCTATTAAATCTGCGATACAATCTGAGAAATGCAAATGAGCATACAATACAACTCCGACTTCTCGACATCATAAACCGAAACAGCGGACCCATGGATACAACAAACAGACTTCTCATTCAAATTTCACCAACAAATTCTCAATCCAGCAAACCAAACTCTGTGCTGATCTCAAAATTTTGCTACGTCGACGTTATTATGAAAAGAACCTTAACCATTCTCATATTCAATTATATATAACAGCTACATCGATCATTCACATTCAAATCAAAAACATTCCTATCCAGATCCATAGATTTAAAAACATATAATACGTGTTTTAAAGGATGAAAGATACTCACGAGAAATGGAGATGATGAGATCTGTAAGAACGCGAAGGAAAATCTCTCTCCCAGTCTTAAATATCTAATCTAGGGTTAACTGGTCAACTAGAGGAGTAGAGGAGCAGCACTACAGGAGATAATTTCTCTCAGGCACGTGTCTAATATATTAACCAATCAAGCCAAACTTGCACTCAATTCCATATACATTATTACGGAGTACATTATTATAAGGTCATCTCCAAGACTTCAACTCGTTTCCTACCAAAATATCAAAAATTTCACCAAATATTACATCAAAATAAATATTTTCGTCATATTCTCTTACCAAATTTTATTCAAATTAATTTCATATTTGATCCTATATTTATAAATAGGAATAAAAATAGGTGGAATCAAACTTTAAAAAATTAGACATGGGCCTGTTACGAAAATCTAAGGCTTGAGCCTTGATTGAACCTAAATGTAGGCTTTTTGTTATGTATTGATAGCAGTTTTATTACCAATAAGAAAAAAATGATGATTCGAGCCTCAGTGGAGGCGTTATTGGTTCTTTGTGTTTCAGTAGGTTTAGAAAGTATATGAACAGATACTACATTATAATAGAGCCAGTAGCATTCCAAAAAAAAAAACGATGACTTTGAGTGGTTAATAGCCTCACTCTAACGTTATTTAAACATATTTGTTTACAGATGACAAAAAGATCATGTGACAATAATACTAAGACCAATAGTGAGTTAAAAAAAAACTCACAGTTGAATGACACATATAAATATATGACCAAAAAAGAAAAATAACTTAACGCTTATGGAATGTTCTGTTGGATGTAGTTGTAATTCAATTACAACACAATTATTTGGCTACCCGAATTACAGTATTTGGTTTGAGGGAAATTGCAATTCCACACATAATACTATGACCAAAGGCGATATTTTGCCAAAAAAAAAAAAAAAAAAAACAAACAAAAAAAAAAACAAAAAACAAAAAACAAACAAAGACTACAATTTAACTGACACTTATAAATCTATGACTAAAATGGAATTAACTCATTTATTCATCTCTAATCTATTACACAAGAACACCAAATGTTTTTCTACACTAAAATAATTTGGTTTCTCAAAATTTAGAACTTTATTAGTTCAAATTTAATTAGTTTAATATAAAATATAATTTATAATAGCAAGAATACTCTGTAATATTTTAGTTATGTTTGATGTATTTTAATTTTTGATTAATGTATGTTTAATATTAGTCATGTCTCAATCGTCTCAATGAGATGTATGAAATGGTATATTTTTTCTAATAATACAAATTTTATATTTAAGTATTTAACAAAATAAAAAATTACATATAAAATAAATAAAGGATACGTTTTTAATTGTATAAATAAGCAAGGGTATAAAAGTAAAATCTCCAATCCTCTCACATTTGTCGTATGTGAACAAGGTCGCTCCATAAATGGGGTGGCACTATTCACCTATGTCAAAAAATATGGCGTTTGCCGTTCAATTGGTGTTTGAGTTGGAGCAGAAAATAATTTGTAAGATAGTAGTTTGTAGATGACATTTGGCATTTTACCCATACCTTAGAGATCGATGTTCTAATAGTACATATATTCTTAAATATTAAGTTACTTTTTTTTTTTTTTACTTTGTGCGTGTTTTACACTAAAGTCCATATATCATATTTTATACGGTACTAAGTAAAGTTACTATTTTATACAGTACTAAGCAAATGTCCCGCTGCGGCTGAGGTATGGAACGCAATTCTTCCTTCATTGTCTGAGCTATCTAGCAACCTCCCATTCGCCACTTGGTTAGATAAAGGAATCCTAAGAAGACATGATGGCAGAATCCCGATTAGCACAAGCACTATCTTTGCTATTACTGCGTGGTGGATCTGGAAATGGAGGAACGACGTCATCTTCAACTCTGCCAATAAACCTCTCCAATTTAAAATTGCCTGGATAAGATCCCAAGTTGAAGAAGTTGCCTCTGCATTTGCAAGAGCTAGGAGACCGGGTGCTACAGAAAATCAGCCCTCTTGGAGTAAACTCTGTTGGACTAAACCACAAGAAGGCTTTGTAAAGATTAACGTGGATGGCACTGTTAACCCCACTACATCAAGGGCAGGAAGCGGAGGAGTAATTCGTGACGAAGCTGGAAAATGGATAAATGGCTTTGTGCACAACATTGGCTGCTGCTCACCACCGGAGGCAGAAGCATGGGCTCTGCTAAAAGGAATCCAACTTGCAGCACATATGGGTTTCAACAAAGTGCTCTTTGAATGCGACGCTACAATGATACCGGAGTATATCAATAACAGCTCTCCTCCTACTACTGCGATGCATAATATTCTAGAAGCATGCAAAAAAGAACTCCGATGCTTCGAAGTATGGCATGTGGCATCTATTGCCCGGGAACAAATCAGGTGGCTGACTTCCTAGCCAAAACCTCACACCGATATGTTAAAGGATTCCATAGTATTAGTAACCCACCTGTAGAGTTACTAGGACTTTTAGAGGACGATGCATTTTCCATCCCTACTTGGCGTAACACTTGTAACGCATAATCTTTGTTGTACTTTGGGTTTCCCCCTTCCTTACATATATAAAAAAGTAAAGTTACTATTTAACTTAGTTCAAGCTCATGTAGTTTAGTATCAAACGAAATTGATCTTAAACACCACACTGAGTATATTATTACTTTTTTCAATTAATCTTATACGTTATATAATATAAAAATGAGTACTATATACTCTATTTGTCTTATTTTGTGTTTCTAATTCGTAACTGGGTCTAACTAAAATTATTTACAATATTATTATATACAAATTATATATTTAGAGCCTACATAAAAATAACATTAACCAAAAATAATAATTTTAAAAATAATAAAAAGATACTAAAAAAATATTTGGTTTGATAAGTCGTGGGTCCTCAAACTGTAAAATAACTATTAATAAACTATAAGTTCTATTTGGTAATGTTCCCAAAATAAGCTCCTAACTTAAAATAAGAATTTATTTTGGAACGCTACCTTAAACATTACACTGAGCTTATTTAGGCTCTGTTTGGCAACTATAAGCTCTGTTTAGGTAGCGTTTCAAAATAAACTCCTAGCTTCCTAACTTTTTTTTTTTTTCCTTTTTCATCTTTATCCTTATTATTTTAAAGAAATGACATTATCATTCTTGGTAGGATACTAGGATATATCCTGACCGACCTAAGATGTTCTCCGTGTTGGCTAGTACAATTTTGGCTCGAGCGCTGCAACGGAGAGATGGTCGGTACCGGTCGTCCATGTACCTCTGTGTTGCCCTCTTGCTTAGGGACGATTGGGACCGACTGGTCGAGTCACCTCCCGACCGATGTTCTGCATGACCACTATATCTTTGTTCCACGCGGAGGCAGTATCGTTGGAGAGGGGCACGTGGCGACGCTAGGTGTTGACAGAGAGTACTCACCAGGTTGGGGCACGTGGATGTTACGTGGATTACATGCCGGTAGGCCGGAGGATTGTTCCCGGCTAAAGGCTATAAATATCCACGGCGGTTAAGGCGAAGGGGACTTTTGGAACGATCAATAGGCTACTTACAGAGCTGTCTGACCGTAGTCAGTCGGCCCTCGGAGTAGTCATTTAGATTGTATTAGGTCACCCTTTTATATATGAGATAACCTCTTCTTGTTCATATTATCGTTTTATATACAGTACGTAGACCGCATACACGTGGACATCAGTATTATCAATTCTCAATTAAAACCCTTTTATCTTTTCCTTTATCGCAACTTTCACCGCAAATATTATTATTATTATTATTACTATTATTATTATTACTATTATATTATTATTATTATTATTATTATTATTATTATTATTATTATTATTATTATTATGAGATTTGCAACAATATTGTTACTTCATTATGAAATGCTATATCATGATTATGCTTATAGTTTTATTTCAAAATGTTAATTTTTTTTAAAGACAAAATGTTAAATTTTAATATGTAAACGAACTAATTTAAATTTTATGAAGATGTCTTTTTTAGTCTTTTTACATTTATCAACTTATCAAGCTTAACAGCTTTTCAGTTTTCAACTCCGAGCTTATAGCTTTTCAGCTTTCAGTTCCTAGCTTATAGTTTTTCAGTTAGGTTTGCCAATCATAGCCTATAATTACCGATTTAATTTTTACCCGTAGATATCCGGCTATTAGATACAGATATAAGAAAACATTGACAAGTTGTATTTAATTGTCAGTTTTAAAAGTTCAAAGACCTAATTATTATTTTTTTTTTGTTTTTGTTTTTGTTTTTTTTTTTTTAATAAGATTCAAATATCTATTTAACTCATCTTTTCCCTTTCGTTTTTCTTTTTTTAAAGATCAAAAAATTGAATCGAGTTTTAAATTTTGGTTATGTGTTTAGCTCAATTATACTAGACTCAAGTCACTCGACTACAAGCACCGCTCTTAGAATATTGGTTTAGTGCCCGCACGGGTTTAGCTAAATGGTTCAGTGGGCAGTATTTGGAAGAAGAGATCAAGGTTCAAACCTTGGCGGCGGTAGTGTGGGAATTATGTTTAAAATTGACAGATTTCTTATGCGCGCTGATTTACATCATCTCAAATACTTTATTGGGCCGAAACGTGGGGGCTCTTAATATTGGGAATTCAACCTTTAGAAGAAGAATATTGGTTTAGTTGATGAAAATATCACTTAAGATTTGCTTCCTAGGATAGGGTAAGGTCTTCAATCAAATATCAAGAATGGTTGGAGTTTGAATTTGGGACAAACTCTGTGTGAAAATATACAATTAGTTTGATTTAGCTTATCATCACGCGCGCTTGGCGTTCAACATAATAAGTTCACTGTTACTCGGAGCACCCAATCATTTCCGGTCCCCAATGTCGCACAACTCAAAGTCGCATACAATTCAGAGCAGAATCACCCAATGGCAGTGAGTCTCTCTCTCTCTCACTCTATACAAAGGAAAGTTCTCTTTTACCTAATGCCATCCATAGTGACAACTGACAGATATACATATATATTCAAGAGAGAGGAGAAATGGCACAGCTAAATTTACAGTATATATAGCTGGCAATAGGAGAGAGAGAGAGTTATCAGCACGCAGAAATCCTTCCCAAGAAATTCATTCCCCACTCCCCCAATTCCTTCTCTCTGCCTCTTTCGTAAATTATTTCCTGATTTTGCTAGTTAATCAATTCTCCGGGGAACTCCATACCATGGGCTGCGCCGAATCCTCGCGTTCCAAAGGAGATGGTACTCTTTCTCTTCTTTCTCTCTTCTCCGTTTTGGGTTAATCTCATACTTACTTTGTTGTATATAGCTGTCTGTGGATGAGCATCTTTGAGCAAAAATCTATCTTTCGTTTTTGCATTTGGTGACTGGTGATTTTATCTTAATCCCTTTTTTGGGGATTTTTGTTTTCGTGGTCAAGAAATGTTTTTGATTGAGTTTCCTTGACTGGGACCATCTGATTGGTAGTTTGGTTTAGTAATTGAATGCTAAGCAGTTGGTTTTCTGACGAATTGAGTATGAGTTAGGTATTTGTACAATTGTGCCAGTGTTTTCCTAGGTTATAGGAATTTCGTACTACTTAAATATCTAATGTCATTGATTACATCATGAGTTCAGTTGTGGTTGGAAGACTGCCTCTCTGAGTTTGAGTGAGAAATCCTGACTTTGCTACCAGGCATTGCTAGTGTTCTCATTGAAAGAATGCTTGATATTTGGTCTCCAAGTGACAAATCTTGGGGTGACGAGGGAGACTTGTAGTCGGGTGGGTAAGCCCCGCTTTGTGACCTTAGCCTCCAAAGACCACAAGGAGGGAGGTAAACCAACCTAAGTTGTCCATAGCTGACCAGCTCAAACATAGGCTGCCAAGCCAACACTTGCTCTGAGAGTGGCAACCCTTGATATGACTTTTGGATAATTGCTATTTAGAGTTAAACATTAGGTTGTTAGAATATTGTCAGAGAGAAAAGGAATTTTTCTCTGTTTGGTTGTTAGCTACTTGGAAATATGCTGCAGTATGGGCCTAGAATAAGGACATGTTAGTGATTGTTTGAAGTTTGAACATGTGGTTCACATGGCTGAATTGATATCAGACCACAATTTTTCAGTGCCTTATGGCTGCCCTTGTCTGCCACTAATTGGCTTGAGCTTTAGTTCCTTTTAGTAGTCATCTCACCATTTCAAGAATTTTTTTGATTTTAGATTTTTCTTGCTTCATGTTTTCAAGTGCCAACTGCCTGGGGATGAGCTTGGAGACTTGGAAGGGAATGAGAATGAATGCATGTCTATGATTTATCAACCCATTAGATGATAGTTTATATATCGAGCTTAACGTCGAAGGCATCAGGGAAATATACACAGTTCAATTTGTCCATAACAAACATTGAATCTTTTGTGTAGATGGATGAATTTAATGTACATGGTGAACAACAAGAGTACCTGTATGAATATCTACTAGTTCACAGTAGTTACTAATCAGAAACACTTTAACAAGTTTTTGACCGAGATCTTTGAGTAAGTCTCTTTGAGCCTTCTTGTTTATACTTGATTGCAGACACTGTTAAGAAGATAAGAAAGCCAAAACCTTGGAAGCATTCAGAACCGATAACAAGGGATCAACTAGTACAGATGCGTAACGAATTTTGGGACACTGCTCCACACTATGGTGGTCAAAAAGGTATTTGTTTTCCTAATATTCTGGTTAGTTTCCAGGAGTTCTGGTGCATATTGGTTTACTTGACTTGAAATGCCGTTACTTTTATCTGCAAATCTATAGACATCATATCTAAATGCATTGGCTGACATTTAGTTGGAATATTAGACTGGTAAAATTTTGTTTCTTATATTCCGTGACAATTGAAGCATTAATCTGCAAATGAGAAAGGGATTTTCATATAACAATGTGCCTCGAGCCTCTGCTTGGTGGCTTGGTGCGTAACAGCCTGAGAGGCATTACATTTTTCTTCATCCTATTTATGTAGCTCTTCAATGTCCTAAAGTTCTTGGCTTTTGGCTCAATCTTGGATGACCAAGTAATAAATTTGAGAGTGACCCTTTCTTACTCTTGATTCAATTGATGTCTAATTGTTCGATATCTTAGGCTTCCTGGTTTGGAAGAAACAAAGTGATTTTCTTCTCTTTATATAACCAGACTAAACTGTTTTTGTATCACTACCAGAGATCTGGGATGCACTCTGTGCTGCAGCCGAGGCTGATTTAGCCCTCGCCCAAGCTATTGTAGATGGCGCTGGTATTATTGTTCAAGCCCCCGATCTAACAGTCTGCTACGACGAGAGAGGTCCGTGATTTCAACTACTTTCCTATTTTCATTTCGAAGAACAAATAAACGTATCCTCCCTCCCAGCCACCCTCCCCTTTCATGCTTCATTGCAGGTGCCAAGTACGAGTTGCCAAAGTACGTTCTGAGTGAACCAACGAATTTGATTCGCGATGGCTAAAGCAGTGGGACTGGGAAGACCATTGATGCTTCACTTGGAATGAAGATCTTGTAAATTGGTTTCATTTCATTTCCCCTTTTCAATTCATTTTGCTTTCTGGGCAGCATTCACCCATTAGTTGTTATGAAGAAACTGGTGTTATCTGGAAAATGGAAATGGTACTACTAGAGTAAATGCATGAGTCTACCAAGAGCATATTTTGCTTGTTCTGACGCAGTACAACTGTTTGTGCATTAAAATGACTAGAGTCAATTTTCTATATGATAACCATGTGGGTGGAGCATAATTCTTATATCAGAAAGTTATGAGTTCAATTATTATCAACATTTTTTGGGTTGAATTTATTGCACCCGAGTTTAGTTTACTTAGTGCATACTTACGCGTAGTAGTTGCAAATGTCTTTCATCAGCCAACAAAATATAACATATGGTAAGGGCAACCCCAATAAGGAGATCTTCAATCCATTTTAGAATAGTAAAATCCCCTTGATAAACTTTGACAAATGGGAAAGCAAAATTTTCACCATATTTTTCTCCTGCAATTCAAAGAAACATGTCAAAAAATTTAAAATAAATAAATAAATAGGTGTTTCAGAGTGGCCGCCAACTCTGAAATTATATTTATTTGGCCTTTGGCCGTTGCTTGGCAGCGGCCAATTTTCCGGCCAATGCTGTTATTTTTTAAGGAATTAATAATTGTTTTTTTTATTTTAATTATAAGTTTGAAAATAAAAGCTCGTAATTTTTACGTATGCTCATTTACGTATATAATTCATTTATGTTTATTATAAAATTATAAATTTATAAATTAAATAAATAAAGAAATAATTAAAATATGTAGATAAAATGATGGGTCCACAAAAAAGTTGTGAAAAAACTTAAAACTAATGGGAAGAAGAGATTTTGTGATTGAATGAGATAGTGGATGATGAGGTAGATGTTGAAGTCCACAAAAATTTGGGGTAAAATCCTTATGTTCCCGATCAAATATGAGAATGGTAAAATTAGGAGTGGTTTTCTTGCATGTCAAGGGGTGCTTGATAGAGTGTAGTCGCAATTCATGACAACATAAATTATAATGTTTAGTTGGATGAAATTGTAATTCCCTCTTTTTGTAGAATTGGAATTCATACGCTCTTCTATATGAATTGTAATCCAGTGTGGGAAGAAAAGGAAAGAAAGAAGATAAAGAGTTATATTTTCACGGCAATTTATATCATGGACCAGGGTTTACAGTGCAATGTGAACCCTGATCCAATACACATAATTTGACTTCATAACGTACATAATTTATGTTCATAATACATATAAACACGATATAATGAACATAAACACTTAACATAATACACATAATTCATATGCATAATGTACAAAATTCATGTTCATAATGCACATAATTCATGTTTATTATATCATATTTATGTGTATTGTGTATGTCTATTATGAATATAAATTCTGTACTTTCTGAACATAAATTTTGTACATTATGAAGTTAAATAATGTGTATTGGGCCAGAGTCTACAATGTACCGTGAATCCTGGTCCACGATATAACAATTGTACACGGCAATTTATATCGTGCACCAGGGTGCGCATTGCATTGTGCGCCCTGATGCAAAACGGCGTCATTTCAGTTTTTTTTTTTTTTTTTTTTTAAATTTTCGCTGCCCTGTGTTGGCGGTTAATTTTCTTTTTTAAAAAATTTTATGTTAAAAAATGTAAATAATTTTATACTAGAATACACATAATTGTATACATGAATGTATATAATTATATAACAAAATACACGTACTTTCTTTTAAATTTCCTAATCCGGATGTACATAATTATATAGACAAATATACATAATTGTATAAACAAATATACATAATCACGTTAATTTCTTACCGCGCCTTTTAAAATGATACAGAGTATTATTTTAGGAGACGCGGATCGCACAGTGCTATGTACGCCGTGGACCGTGGTGGAGGGTATAACTATTGTATTTTCACCGTCAAATATCGTTTATTTTGGTGGGCTTAAAAGTTGTTTGAAGAATAAGACAAAGAAGGAAGAAATCGGCCCAATTAGTGAGGGTGAATGCATGTTCGTTTCGGTTGGGGACTGCAGTTGAATGAATAGTAACCTACGCCGCTAAAGTTGTTCTATCAACCTACGCTACAGTTAGCTCTATTAACGACACGGGGAGTACTAGAATATAGACGTTGCTTTGAGCCGCCATAGACACGTGTTTCCCTCTTCCCCCTATGAGTGGCCAATAAATAACATTTTTTTTTATTATTATTTTTAAATTTGCAAGACATAATTTTCACACTGCCGCTACTGAGGTTCGAACGTTAGTCTCTTCTCTCAAATACTGTCCACTGAACCATTGAACTAAATCCGTACGGCCGCAAGACATATTTTCTAATTCACCAATGCTTTAAATCATCGTTTTCATCCCTAAAATATTTTTTTTTTGCTTGGAAGATTTAAGAGAATGTCATTCACTCATTCTTAATGCTAAAGGTTACGTTGCATTACCCCACAAACTAAAAAGATTATTAGCACTTGGAACACAAATCCAAAACATTGCCCCATTGGAAGTAGACAGTTTTGAGCTTTTCCCAATGTATTCCAATGATGCTTTCCACCCTTTAAATGGTAAAAAACCCATGGAGCATTAACAAAGGTCAAACATCTTTAAGTAACCAACTTAGCCTAATTATAAAATTTTCTTTTCTTATTACGATCATTAATTAGTTTATTAATTATTTTCTTCAATAGGTTCCTCTCGATTTCAAGTGTTAAGAGAAGGAACACATGTCGATATCTCACTGACAAGGTCTATATATGACAATTGATAAATGGATATCAAGTTGATCATGACATGTATTCGCGTTGATGTGAATTTGAGCAATGTGATGACTAAATAGATGCCCTAACATATGGAAACCAAATCTAAAATAGATGGTTGACTTCCCGACCATATATAGAGATCCGGAAGCATTGAAAAGTGGCTTAATCAGGTAGGCATGCATGCATATATAGTGCACACTCCATATATTTCCATCATCTGTCATTCGTCAAAATAACCTGCACACTTATTCCTTTATCTAGAGTTTATAATATGAGCGATTAATTTGATCACAAGTTTTCTCAACCAGTTAGGTAGAACTTGTAGTGAAAAAAACAGATGTTTAATATAAAACAATGAACCCTAGCTTCTTCGGATTCCTAGGAGCGTACAACAGAAGTGAATTGAAGACAATAATATAATGCCAAGACATGTGCATATTGTCAGCAACGTGTGTGTTGGATTGAGTGGCTTTTCTCATTTGTCCTAAAGCTTAATTGTAAGTGTACTTGCACATATATATGGGATTCCTAGAACGTAACCCCCCAGCCTTTTTGCATTGGGAACTTGTAGTTTGCGATGGGTTTTCATGATTTAATTCATATGTGCACTGCTTTTCGTGGCCATTATTATTTTAATTAGTTTAGATTCTATAACCATTAACATCATACTTAGGGAATGTTTGGTTCACGGAATGTAAGATTACCTTAGGGAATGTTAGATTGCTGGGAATATTAGATTACTGGGAATGTTAGATTCCTGTGTTTGGTTAAAATTGGGGTATGTAATATAATGATGTTTGGTTTAGGGTTATCTTTTATACACACTATAATATCCTTAACATATTTTCATATATTTTAATAAATTTAAAAATTAAAATAAATAAATAAGATAACGGTATCATATATAATTATGATTTTAAAATATTAACTAAAATCTTGAACTTGAGAAACAAAATTATTTTATAAACTAACATAACACAATAAAAATAAAATATATATATATATATATATATATATATATATATATAATTACAAATATAATTATATATATATATATATATATATATATATATATATATATATATATATAACTATATATATATAACTAACATAACCAAGGTTATCTTAGATTACCTAAGATTTTGAAGGGAATCACATTCCCTTCAAAATCCTATGTGGAGGGAATGTGACATTCCTTGGGAATGTTAGATTCCCTAAGATAATATGAACCAAACACCGGAATGTGAGCTTTGGAATGTCACATTCCCTTGGTTATCTTATATAACCTGAACCAAACGCCCCCTTAGGTGCATGATGCAATGCATGGTCTCTGCGTTCTAGAAAGCTGCGATTCCAATACACTATTCTTAACTCAAATACAATATCTTCATCATACTCATTTATCGTTTTCATCGTAGCTAGGGTTTTGACCATCTTTAATTTAATACTAGAAAAGTAGAAATCACTTCTCTTAAAACAATTTACAATTTATTAGAGATAAATAAAAATATATTTATTTATATATAGAAACTTATTATAACAAATCTGTACAATATAATTTTCTATTAGTTATGTTGTTAATAGAGTATGTATAAAATTAAAGGTATTATCTAATTAAGGAATTAAGTACATACAAAGATTAGGAAGCGTTATTATTATCCTTTAAAAATCATTGCTTTATTAGGAGTATGATAGAGTTGTAAGGTAGTTCTACTTGTTTGATAATCTGTATATCATATGCTACTCGTGGTTTAATTAATTATTGGTCTTAATATCAATAAACTATCCCAAATCAATATTAACCGACTTCTCAATCTCAATATCAACAAATTTCTTGGTGTTGATATTAGAAGACTTCCTGATCTCAATATCAACATGCTTCCAGCTCATCACTACTGGACAAATCAACTTTGCCATCACTTCACCCCACCCCTCCCCCTTGTCACTTTAGTAGTTTACATGTGTCGTGATTGATCTAAGTGCTCAACCAATGAACGACACGTCAACTATGTCAACAACTTATCTATCATTATATGAACGAACTTGCTACTTAATATAAATAAAACCTTTTTCTTTTTTTTAGTAAAAGGATTGTTTCTCACAATTTTTATTGTGCAAACCAGAGCTTACCGACCTTGTGTGGTTGAACACTTGAACCCTTTCTATTGTCTTGTATAGAGTACTGATGAAAACAATAATAAGATCACTACTACATCTTACATTTACACTATGTGTCAAATATTATTTATATTTTTTGTAAAAAAAAAAAAATGTTAATCTGTCAAGTTTTAGTGAATTGGTAAAAGATGCAGATGCATATCGTCACGCGAAATCACCGAGGGACCCACTTGATGATCCGGGTGGGGCATACCCTTGGCCCGTACTGCACCTGTCACGTCACTCCCGGACACAAAAACGGATACGG